AAGGAGGGCAGCAAAGAAGCCACTTCTCCTCAGGAAAATCATCAGGGACAGACTGATATTCTGCAAAAGGTACAGGGAGTGGACTGCTGAGGACTGGGGTAAAGTCATTTTCTCTGATGAATTCCCTTTCCGATTGTTTAGGACATCTGGAAAACAGCTTGTTTGGAGAAGACAAGGTGAGCGCTACTAACAGTCTTGTCTCATGCCAACTGTAAAGCATCCTGAAACCATTCATGGAGGGGGTTGCTTCTCAGCCAAGGGAGTCGCCTCTCTCACAGTCTGACCTAAAAACACAGCAATAAATAAAGAATGGTACCAGAATGTCCTCTGAGAGCAACTTCTCCCAACCGTCCAAGAACAGTTTGGTGATGAACAATGCCTTTTCCAGCATGATGGAGCACCTTGCCATAAAGCAAAGGTGATAACTAACTGGCTCAGGGAACAAAACATAGAGATATTGGGTCAGTGTCCTGGAAACTCCCCTGATCTTAATCCCATTGAAAACTTGTGGTCAATCATCAAGATACGGGTGGACCAACGAAAACCTAGGAATTCTGACAAAATACAAGCATTGATTATGCAAGAATGGACCGCTATCAGTCAGGATTTGGTCCAGAAGTTGATTGAGAGCATGCCAGGGAGAATTGCAGAGGTCCTGAAGAAGAGGGATCAACACTGCAAATATTGACTGCATTAACTCATTCTAACGGTCATCAAAACATTTTGATACTCATAATATGATAGCAATTGTATTTCTGTATGTGATGACAACATCTGACATACACACATGAAAACCAGAGGGCAGCAGATCATGTGAAAAATAGTATTTGTTTCATTCTCAATACTTTTGGCCATGACTGTAAATGCATGCTCAGCATCGAGGGATTGCTTTTAACAGCACAAGGCTGTCACTATAGGCTCATCCAGGAGGAGCAAACTCTGTGAGTTAATGGCTTGATGCAATCTGCTTGGTTTTCTATTTAAAACCTTAAATAGAAAACTTTTTCGAACCATTTGAAAATTTAGAAAAATAGGATCAACTGGATCAAGAATGTGGGTTTGGACTGAACTAACTGTAAAGTGCCTCGAGATGATGTGTTGTGAAATTGGCGCCATATAAATAAAGTGAATTTATTATTTCACTTCTTGATCCTCTCGACGCCAGAAGCAGACACCTTTCCTCCCTATTTGAAAAGACTTTATAAGTGTTCACTACTTGCAGTTATATCATAACAAGTAACACGGTAACAGATGCGGCTGATCTCTGAGAAGAAGGCATACGTGCAGTCGCAGACAATTAGCTCAGCGGCACCGTTCCCTGTGGCACTAATCAAACTGTAAATACAGATGATGGGGAGCAAAGAGTTCGGTAATGGCATGATGTCAGATTTGGACAGACAGGGCTTTGTGTCTGTGCGACCACAGTTTATTAATGTTGGCTGGGTTTTGGCAGAAGAAGAGGGTGTTCTCCTTTACATGAGCCAAGCATTTGAGAGCTTTAATGCATGTAATTGCATTTAATCTAACTCTTGTAAGACTAGCTCCTGTTTTAAAGGAGTTTTTTTGTTTGATCATCTATAAAAAAGCCAAAAAGAAATGTAGGGTGAATGGTAAAGGTGAATTTGTCGTCTGTTTGAAATAAAGTAGTGGGTTGATTTAATTGAAGGTTTGCTGCCTAAAGTTTTCTGGGCCTAAACAAAATAGTTTAATAATTATATTTTTTCATCATGTAATCAAAGATTATATCCTTTTTTTTTAAAGCCAACAACTTTAATTATAAAAATTAACATTTAATGGCCTGTTCTTCTGTCTTTCTCTTTTTGTCAGCATCTGTTTCACATATCTATATCAGAAAGACCTGAATTGCTGAAAAATAGTCAGACAATCTTATCATCTTAAAAACAAAGTAGAAAATAATTAATAACACTTAATAGATAAAAGCAGCTTTTGAGTGCAAAAAAATTAGGTGCAAATGGTTTTGTGGGCACTTCTGTTTCTGAGCAACATCATTTTCTCCATCAATAATTTAATGCAGACAAATGAGAGGTTTAAACATGTTATGCATGAATTTATGTTTCTGTAAAATTATGCTTTGGTTTTATTGCTTGCTGCGCTTCTTTACACATTTTTTTCTTGTATTTATGCTGAAAGGTTAAGCAGATTTTTAGATCAGTATGAGAGTACCTGAGTTTGCTGCTTCCTCGACCGTAGCTGAACGACGACGCAGTGCGGCTGCTAAAGGAAACTGGGCTTTTAATCACACTCTCAAGAGAAGGGCTCTTCCTCATGAGGCTGTTTGGTTTCAAGTCCTCACCAAAGCTTGACAACTTATCTGCAGAATCAAAGGAGACAAGAGACGGATGTGGACACAGAAGAATGTGACAAAAGAGTCAAAAAACAGAGCATATCCTGGAAATATTTGCTTCCACTCAGGAAACTATGTTTCTATAACAGCTCCTCAGGGGAGCTTTGGAAACAAATCTTCCACAAATTATTAAAGCACATTTTCAGAGTCGGGTACTGCATTTACAGTATTTGTTTTTCTAAGAAAACAGTTAAAGTCCAAGAAGGAGGATGTTAGCGTTTCATTGTCTCCATTCGTTTCACTTTCAATGAGAACATTGAGTCAGCAGAACTTTGACCTTAAAATCCGTCTTTGAGCCACAGGAATTTGAATGAACATGTAAATTTAGCAGGAGACAATAAAATCTGATGGTCAGCTGTGTCCACTCACTGGGTGAGAGTGCGCTGGTCTTCTGGGACTTTTCTGCTTGCATGCCGTCCCTTTGACAAGTTTCATCCCACAGATCATCACAAGGTGAGATTACTATTCTAGTTTGGCTAAAAGTCATCGCTGAAGAAGCTGGCTATTTTCAGAGTGCTGAATCAGAACGGATCAAAGATGAAAACCAAGGTGCTCATGAGAAAAAGTTTACCATTAGATGGCGACGGGTGGCGTACAGTAATGTTTATTACTGCTGATGTTCCTCAATGCAATTTTTTTCAGGTTAAAATGAATTAAGTAAACACCATCAGCATAAACCCTCAGCGTACATGATTTAATTCAAAGATTATATATGTTTTTAGTGTTTTTTTTTTTTCTTTTCAAATGAGATACTACCCAACTAGGCCCCTTTAAGAGTGATAATGAAGGACATAGAGCATCTGTGCAACAAACCAGATTTGTAAATGACATGCAGAGCATAAATGCATGGCATCAAAAGCAGAACCTTACGACCGCAACATGGTGGACACTGAAACCGCATTGCAATAATGATTAAACACATCATGCAACTCTAACTTTAAAGCTATATTAATGCACGAACCTTCAGTAAAGTTTTAAATATTTCTATTTAGTTTCAGCTTGATTCAATAAATTAATAATAAAAAAAAAACTAGTGACCAGACTGTAAATGTCATAAGGTGTATAATACTGTAGTGACTGGTTTTTCAAGGGAAATCAGCTGAATTAACTGAAACCAAAAGAGTAGAAGATAACTTTAGGAGACTTATTATCACAGCTAAGATTGGGAGGAGCTCCAAACTGCATGATGCTGACTTTTTCATCACACAGGCGCCATACTAAAACTAGAAAATAAGTGATCAACCCCCCTGTTAAATATCTAAGCTTGTTCAGTAACAAAGGAATGAGCAGTTTCTATTTTTTATTGTAGGTTCATTTTTATTATAGAGAGAAATATAAAAAATAATAAATCATTACATCAACGATAAAACTTGATTTGCACATATTTGACTTACTTTGAGTAGAAACATTTGTTTCCAATATTCTATTATTACTATTAAGCATGTTTTAGGTCAGTTTCACTGTGGGAGATGAATCGATGATGCCATCAAAAACCTGCCTTAAAGGAGGTTATTATTTAATATTTTACAGCACATGGCCACGTTACGTACTAAAGACATCCTGCACCCTTAGTATAAACTGTTTCCTCAGTCATGATGTTTCGGTCATGATGTGTGGGGGACGGTGATCCTCATAGGGACATAACCAGGATATTAGTACAGGGTCGACTAGGGATGTCTGTTAAAGACGGCACTAAAGCTTTTGGCTTCATTTTTTTCTTGTTACTTTGTCTCAAAACCATTCTGAGTATTACATACCTCGAGGATTAGAGAAGTCGCCACGGTTTATTCTTTTTTCCAGCATCTTTGACAATGGTTTAATGTAGGAATGTCTCTGAAAAGATGCCAAGAAAGGAGGAACAAGCTCAGCTTCATCAAGTTTTAAAGCTGATTCAGTGTTTAAAACTTGTGATTTTAGATACCTGGATGGGGGAGACAGCTGCAGCTGGTGCAGAGCGTACGGGGATCCCACTAAGAGGGCTCCTCAGGGACGAAGGCGCTTGAACCGCATGAGAAGGTCCATCTGTAAAACCCAGGATCATTTATGGTGCAAAAGCTTAGATTTGTAGATTTTCAGCAGCACAAAGTAGTTGGACTGAAAACATCGTTATGGTCAAGAAACCAAAAGAACAATGTTTTACCCACCTTCAAAAATAGAAATAGTAAAACCAAACCCAAGTCAATAAACCGGTAACACTTTCTTTACAGTACATCAATAAAATTGTAATAACATGGTAATAACATAGCAAGTCATACTATATTACTTAGTAACAAGAAAAACTTTATTTGGTAATTATCCTAAAATTAAGGTTTATAATTTTATGGTAATTAACATAATTATTACAATTGTATATTACTAAATAGCAATGGAGACGTTTGGTCGATGATTACCATTAGGTTACCATATAATATTTTCTATTATTTGTAACTAGTAACTTGCACTGTTATTACATTGTTATTAATGTACTGTTAAAGAAAATGTTACCAATAAACCCATGGAGCTCTGGAGGAGCAGCAGAGATCCCCCAACTCATGTGGAGACAGAACATCTATCAGTTATACCCTACATAAATCTGAAAGGAGCGCCATAAAGGAAGCCATGAGAAATCACATTAAAGCCTGAAGTCTGACTGGTAAGTTTGCCAAAGGCTTTGTGATGCACATTGCAATCATAAATCATTGGACAGAGTACAGCTTTACGGGTGGAAAGCTTGTAGAAAAAAAGTATGACTGGACAAAATAAATATGAATGCTATATGCTCCTAATCTTTATTTTGCAAATACATCTTTTTTATATCTATATTTCAAGTCAGAATTAATCCCCATTATGTGATTCGTTTGAAATCCCACAAATTAGGTCCAGGTACATAAATGGCAAGGTTCTATGTAATTTAGTCCTAGTTACTTTTATCGTAGTAGTGGTTCAATTTCTAAAGGAAATGACGGAGAGGCCCACAGAAACTTCTTAAATCTTTGTATTACTATGAATTTAGAAACAGTAGCTCCTGTTAATTGTACTCCCTGTTAGATGCTGAGAGTAAAACCATTAAAAGAAACCATCTGCAAAGGTGTAATAACACCTCATCTATCCCAGATTGAAAGCACATCTTATTTTTATGACTGTGAAATGATCCCCTCTCAGCTCAGAGGAATGACAGAGAGGCATGCTGCAGACCACACCAGCTCATCAGCTGTTCTCCTCTACAGTTACACTGATGTGATGGGATGCCTGGCCAGTGTTTGGGTCTGTGTGTGGAGGTGCTTCGTGCTCACTCTGTCCAACTGTATCAAAGGACTTAATGAGGGATTTGACAGTAGCTCCAGGCTCGGAGCTGGCATCTTCGCTGGCGTCGGCGGCTGTGCTGGGGATCATGGAGGTGCTACACCATTGGCTGCTGCTGCTGGAGTCCAACACTCTCCCCTCGTCACCTTGGGACCTGGCAGACACAATAAACAGGATTGCTGCATAGAGTCAAGCAACACATAATGGTGGTGATCAGGCTACGACTAGACTATCCAAACCCTTCATGCAAGTCCTGATGATGCATGTTCTGAAAATGGGAAGTGCAATTATTTTTCTGATGAGATGAAGTGGAACAGCTCTTTACAAAAGTATTTAGAAATCCTTGAAACTTTTTCTAGTTTGGTCACAAACATCCAGACTTCAATATAGCTTCCCTGAGAATCATTTCATAGATCCACACATAATTGTTCATCATAACTGTAAAGTGGAAGAAAAAGTCAATTTGGTTAATCTTATCTTAAATCCGAACAAAGACATTTTAATTCAGTTTTCTAAGTAAATCCTACACAGATGATTAATCTGTATTTAGACAAATGGGAGTGACTCATTCTTCCACATGAACATGCCTTATGGTGTGTTCTGTGTGATGTGCTTGGTTTGTTATCCACTCACACAATTCTCATATTTTCCCAATTTGAGTCAGATTGTGAGGATAATCTACTCCAACCAAGACTTCTTATGGCTCTTTCTATAACTGCAGGGAATCAAATCAACTGACATTTTCTCTGTCAGCCCTTTTCTTTCATTTTATCATAATAAACACACTCACTCTTAAGCTTAACCATCCTAATCAATAATATCTTTACCGTGAGTGGGTGTAAAAGAAAGACAAAAACTAATCTGAGGGCCTGGCACCTTCATGTTGTAACTGTGCATCTCTGCTAATGAACGTTCCCTTCTATTACTTCACAAGTATTCCACTTTGTATATTGCATAATAACCAATTAAAATACACAAGAACTTATGGTTGAACAAGAAAATGTACAAAGTTAAAGAGGAGTGAATAATTTATGAAGAAATTGCATGTATTGTATTCATTTTAAGGATTGCTAACCCGACTGTGCAATGAAGTCATTTTTCACACACTGGTCCAGACAAAGTGGATTTCAGGTTGCAGAATGTGATGTGTGAGATTACGGATTTTTTTATGAGTGGTCTGTAGAGTAGTCTGATGTATTAACAAAAGCCAAAGGCCTGGAGTAACTTTGTTTATTCATTGACCGAAAGAACAACAGTCACATTTACATAGAATACAGAAAAAAATAAAAACAGCCAAGCCTAAGTCGGCAAAAATAAATTATCACAACACGAACAGGACCTCTCACCAGAATAGAAGGATTCCTTTAAACACTTCATCTCGTCTTTCATAAGTTAAGCTTGAGCACCAGTACCATTGACTGTGGCTGCGTAATATGGCTTTTTAAAAATCAGTTGGTAGGAAGGACCTGATATTTGGCACCTTCAAACCCTACAATGTGTTCCAAGAGTGTGAGAAAGATCTATATTAAAAGGAAAACCATTTCATTCATCTGAATCTTTTAAACCATGTGGTCAAAAGTATAAGAATTCAATAAAAATCCTTTTTTTTTTTCTAAAAAGCTGGAATATAGAAGATAGATCATTTTTAACTATTGTAAATATTTCAGGGACACAGTTTTATTGGTCAATGAATTTTTAATTTTAAGGATTTTGGTTTTAATAGAATAAAAATTGGTCCAGAGGTAAACTGTTTAAATGTTTAAGCTACATATAAATTTGGCATGACATCATAAAATGTATGTAACAATCATCTTTTTCTCAACAAAAAATAAAACAGCAGATCTATGTAAATGTTGAGACGCACAGTGCCATCTAGAGGTTACAAGATGAAACTGCACTGTATTCCAGCGACATAAGAAGAAAGAACAGTTGTCAGTGTTTATATCAAAGCCTCTAAGGACTACATGACAGAGTTAATTAATTGCACTTTTTTCCTGATCAAAAGGACGTGAGAAAAAAGCATCTTTTTCTAAAATAAATTGGTGAAGAAATCTAATTCTACAAGTTGATTTGTGGCTGGTCATAAGAGCAGTGTCAGCTGAAACAGCAGGGAGAAAAAAATTAAATCATCTTTGAAATGTGGTGGAAGATACTCTGTCACTCCCAGGTAGCTGTGTCTACATCCATGAGGAAGCATAAATAAAATGGAAAGGGTACAAATGTAAAACAGAGAGGCATCCACATAGATAAAAAAAATAGCAAATGTCAGGAAGTCATAGAAATGTCATAAGCTTTGAAAATGAAAGACAGAAACAGGAGCAAATGTTTGAGGAACAAATAAATCAGCTGGGATCGAACTGAAGTAACGAACCACAACTTGAATGCATACTTTATCAAGACCATTTTAAAGATTGCTAAAACCAAGCAGGGATGAGTTTTTAACTGTCCAGAAGAGACATTTAGTTACTGTGGTGGGTTTGCAATCAGCTCTAAGGTCTACCAACTGTAAGAAAAAATAAAACTAAGGTAGACACCAAGGAGGCATCATGATCGGATACTTCAAGCTTCCCTTCAGAGGTTACTCCTGACCCTATCTTTCATTCCAGCTGCTTGCAACCTTGACTTTCACATTTTAGTCATGCTCCATATTTCACAAGGATCAAAACACAAAGATAATTTGATTTTCTTGCTTCGCTCCTTCACCACAGCATATATCAGAGCAGTGCCTGGAGTACAGCTACTTTCATCCTCTTTCATGATTAAGATTCATCGATAAGTAAACTCGTCCACTTGAGGCAGAGACCAGCCTACTTTTTCCAGCTGAGGAAATTACCTCAGACCAAGAAGATCATCTAGAGTCCTAAAGCCAAACGATGGCTGAATATTCCGTTAATTTTGGCTGCACTTAACGAATGGAAATGTTCTTTTTCACTGCTAAGCTGCTGCTCACCGTTGTAAAGCTGTATAAACAAAATTTCATTTTGCATACACTCTGTGTATACAAAATGACAATAAAGTTGGTCTAAGTCCAATTTTAGTTAAGCCTTTTTATATAGCACCAGTTCACAACAAAAGTGAGGCCCAGAGTGATGGATCCAGAATCTATACCTTTGCCTTGCTAAAAGTATTTAGCTCCGTTGAACTTTTCAACCCTTTGTCACATTTCAGGCTTCAAACATAAAAATATAAAAGTGTAATTCTTTGTGAAGAATCAACAAGTGGGATACAATCATAACATAGAACGAAATCTATTAGATATTTAAAACTTTTAACAAATAAAAAACTGAAGTGTGGGGCGTGCTAAGTTAATTGACCCCTTTAATTTCAGTGCAGCAAACTATCTCCAGAAGTTCAGAGAGCATCTCTGAATGATCCAATGTTGACCTAAATGACTGATGAGGATAAATAAAATCCACCTGTAATCAAGTCTCATATAAATACACCTACTCTGCGATAGTGTCTGAGGTCTGTTTAAAGCACAGAGAGCATCATAAAGAACAAGGAACACACCAGGAAGGTCCAACATAATGGTGTGAAGTTTAAACCTGGATTTAGATACAAAAAGATTTCCCAAGCTTTAAACATCCCAAGGAGCACTGTTCTAATTGTAATATTGAAATTGAAGGAGTACCAGACCACTGCTAATCTACGAAGACCCGGCCGTTCCTCTAAATTTTTATAAAAAACAAGGAGAAGACTGATCAGAGATGCAGCCAAGAGGCCCATGATCACTCTGGAAGAGCTGCAGAGATCTACAGCTGAGGCGGGAGATTCTGTCCATAGGACAACAATCAGTCACAAATCTGGCCTTTATGGAAGAAAGCAATTTCTTAAAGATATCCATTAAAAGCCGCGTCTAAAGTTTGCCACAAGCCTCCTGGGAGACAGAAAAAACGTGGAAGAAGGTGCTCTGGCCAGATGAAACCAAAATCTAACTTTTTAGCAACAATGCCAAATTTTTGGCGTAAAGCAACGCTGCTCATCAGAACAAACACACCATCCCTACTGTACTGTAGAACACGGTGGTGGCAGCATCATCGTTTGGGCCTGCTTTCTAGGGACAGGAAAGGTGGATGGAGTCAAATACCATTCTGGAAGAAAACCTGTTGCAAAAGACCTTAGACTGGGACGGAGATTTATCTTCCAACAAAACAATGATCCAAAACACCCAAAATCTACAGAGGAACAGTCCAGATAAACATATCCAGGTGTTAGAATGGACAAGTCAAAGTCTAGCCCTGAATCCAATCTAGAATCTGTGGAAAGAACTGAAAGCTGCTGTTCACAAGCACCCTCCATCAAACCTCACTGAGCTCCAGCTGTTTAGTAGAAAGAATGGGCTAAAATTTCAGTCTCTCATTGTGAAAAACTGATAGAGACAAACCTAAAGAGACTTGCAGCTGCAATAACAGCAAAGGGTAGCGCTGTAAAGTATAAACTAAATGGGCTGAATCATTTTGCACACACAATTCTCTGTTTATTTGTTAAAAGTTTCAAATGTCCAATAAATTTCATTGAACTTCATGATTTTGTCCCGCTTGTTGCTGATTCTTTAAAAAGAATTACAATTTTAGATCTTTATGTTTTAAGCCTAAAATGCACCAAAGTCAAGGCACTGTATGCAGAAGTCGCCGTGGTGATGAAACTAAAAGTTGTTTAATTACAAGTTATTTTGTTCACATTTATTCTTTTGATATTTGATTTGTAATTGGATAGAAAAAAGCACCTTACATGATATAGTTTTACATAATTTGAACCAGTTGGAGTGAATGTACTGATAAATATGGATTTTCATCGTAAATGCAAAACGTTTATATATTTTTTGTGTTTTGGCTTAATTTCTGCTTTGGCTTGGTTGTTCTTTCAGCAAATTGCTTTTTTTTAATGGTTTGTTGACGTAAAGCTGTGAGCAGGAATGATTTCTGAAGTAAAGCTGGTTTTGACCCATGTTTTAGCTGAGAAAAAGAAGAGACTGAAGCTCCTCATGCAGCAGTGAGTCCATATCTTTGCCAGGGGTTGAAGAAATATTACAAACTGGTTTTTGTTTCCCTGCTCTTGCAATGATGGTAAAATCCAAACGCTTTACCGACCCTTAAACAGCTTTTGGCCTTTTATCCACAACAGTTTTTAACATTTTCCCATCTTTTCAACTTTCTCAAAAGGCACAAAAGATATTCACACATCATAAAAAGAAGTCTCTTAAACATGTAGACCACAACACAGGAAACAATACGGACACAGAGTATGCAGTGAGAAAATAAAACTGTACTTTTTTTTTTTCTTTTTTAAAAGTCCCCAAAAATAATTCGGCCAAATAAGAAAGATGAAGCTGTGGCAAATAGTCCTTCTGCACAGTGACTCAAAAGAAAACTGGTTTCCACAAAATATAAGTGCAACAATAACACTGTCTTCTTCACAGGATGCTGGGATGAAGGAACTTCTCTAGTGCCCTTCGACTGCAGTCTTGGTATCAAAAGTGGCTCCAGTGCTCATCCTGAAAAAAAACAAAACAAAAGAAGACATTTTAAAATCCATAACATACAAGGTCTAAAAAACAAAACAAAACTGCTTCTTAATGTTATTTTGAAAAGCCAGACCTCTGTTTTTTTTTTCTCATCTCTTCCATGCACACCTCATTAGATTAAAAACACTCATTCTGTCAGATCACCCTGTGATGGAGACGCTATGGAAATGTATCTGAATCGTAAAAACAGCATGAGTTCAGTCCAGTCATGCCAGTGCAGCCATCTCATCCTGCTTTTTCATCAAAAAAGTAGGAATGTTATTCATTGAAATCAACAGCAGGTGGCACCAGATACATCTACTTGAACTACAGACTTAAAAAGAGCCAAAGGAAGCAAACCGGAGAGGAATGGTAGCCCTAAAGGTGCAGTCAGCCAGCATATGGAGAAAACAGACAGTCAGACAGGCTGAAGGGACAGCGTGAAGCCAAGCACAGAGAGGAAGGTCAGTGAGCATCAGCAGCACACAAGGCATGGGGAGACAGGCTGGCTGGGAACTCACCTGGACTCCAGGCTCATCAGATGGACATCGTTAACAGAGACACCGCAGGGAGCTGATGGAGGTGGGGAGCGGACGCAGCATAACATCTTTTCTTGGGGAAAGTTTGGTGATAGAGATATAGTCTAGCGCCAATAACTAAATTCTCTACCTTACCCCATGTTAAAGGAAGTATTTTTCTGGTTTCAAACAAGTTATCTAATTCCTTTACTGATTTAAAGATTTAGAATCAGTGTCAGACAAGCAGCTAGACTCTTCTACACTGATGATCGACGATTAGAAACCATCACAAATTTTATATTGTTGCAGTTTTTTCTTATACTCATACATAAACCAAAGATATGCTTGTTTTTAAGCACTTTCAAGCAGAATCTTTAAACTTTTTTAGTCTTTTATCACACTGCAACCACAAACCTCGATGTATTTCGTTGGGATTTGATGAGATGCGTCAAACTTCTTAAGCTGACAGAAAATCTGAGTTTTTAAAATATCTTTACATATAAAAATAAGGAGAAATGTGGAATGTTTTCCTTAAACAAGAACTTTCTGAAGTTACCAAATAGGGGGTTTGACAGAAAACATTGCAAGCCAGAATTTAACAATTTTTTTCATTACATTTCTATCTCTTCACATTTATCTACTACATTATGTTGCTCTAACACATAAATTCACCCTCCAAAAAAATCTGTTTAATTTTGTGGCTGTGACATGAACATTTATAAATGGAAAAAAATACTTTATGCTTTACATACCCAACACCATACAGCGGGGCATACCATACAAAAAAAAGAGATAAACTGGTGTAGTATGTGCTTTTATGTCACAGATGGATGATTAGAGAGCTGTGTACCTTTTTCAAGGTCTGAATGTGAAACTGAATTGCTTAGCTACACATCACAATATAAGTTAAAGAGGGAAAGAGGAAGGGCAGCAGCTTAAAAAGGAGTAAATATAGAGAGGGAAAATAAAACTGCAGGAGATGGCTCATTGACCTACAGAGTCTGCCAAATCCGAGAATCATAAACACTGTAACTCTTATTTACGTCTAGGAAAAAAACATCTGTTAATAAGAGGCGGAAAATTTAGGAACCTCTTGAACAAAATTTTCTTTAGAGTATAGATTATTTGGGACGCCTATCTGAAGAATGGCGATGTGCTGAGATCTGGCAGGACTCTAGTAGGCTTGTCATATCACTGTATACGTAGAGAAAAGAACTGCATCCTGAAGAGGCTGGAGGAGATGGCTGTGTGGGTGGAAAAAGGGGATCATGATGAGGATAGTACCTGACTCCCTGCATGGCCTGAAGGTCTGCAGAAAGCTTCGTGCTGCGATCCTGCTCCTCCTGCAGCTGCCTCCTAAGACTGCGCAGCTCCTGCTGAGCTTCCACTTTGATGTCATTGGCCACCACCACCGCTGTCTGGAGGTCTGCCTGAAATCGCCGCCACTCATCTCTTTCCTCCTAAATGCATAAACACATGGACCAGCTCAGATTTAAGCACACCAGTTAATTTATACAAACACGAATAAAGGAAATAACACAGGAAATAAGGGTAAACCATCCGTAGACTCTCAAATAAGTGGTCCAAAACCAAAAGCTAAAAATACCTAAAGGAATGTTGTTCAAAAGCACTGCGTTAAAAAATAGAATGAATCACTCCACAGGGTCCCTGAATAAATAAAAAGGTTTTATTTCTATTATAAAGATTGGTTTGATTACAGCGGCCAAGAACCATTTTAAACAATCTGGAAAATAGATAAATCTCAGGGTTTAAAGGCCTGTGGCGGCCATGCTTGGCTGATTAAACAGGATTATAAATCCTTTGGGATTTTATTATGTATTGCACATTAAAGACCGGTCAGGATTCAGTCTGGATTTTTACCCAGAATCATAAATGATTGTTGCACACTTATAACACCAAATCAGACAAAAGACTGGATGACATTTAAAATAAAAATATAAAAAGCAATGATTCTTCTAATCTGTCGATACAAACGCTGTACGTTTCTGTTTGTTTCATCCAGATGGGGATTTTCTTGGCTGCAGTTTAGGTCTGAAACGCATACCATAAAAAGTATATAGAGTGAAAAAGCAAACTGTTGTTATAATTAAATTTCCCTATATTTTAACTAAAGCTGCAATAAGAAATCAGCTTGTGACCATAATGGGATTGATTTTCTTCATTGGGGGACATGATCAATGATCCGTCAAGTGAAAATTTACTAATCTGATTATTTTTCCCAATCTGTGAATGAAGTGCACATGCCAAAAACAACAAAACCTGTTCAGAGTAGAAGTTGGTAAAATACTCACTGAGGAAGACTCAAAGGTCGGGCTTTTCAGTAACACTGAGGTGTTTAAAAATGCAGTGAAAAGAAACAGGAAAAGCTTAGGAGGCTCCTAAAAGCTAAACTTTATTTTCTATGGAGGAATGTTGGCTGCTCACTCAAGCTTCTCATGCCAACTGTCCTAATAATGCTAAAAGCTGATATAAAGAAGACAATTAGACAAGATATAAAAAAACAATTATCTTTGTATGTATGTATAATATATTATGCATGCATACACACATACATACATATATATACAGTTTATGAGTTATGAATACACATCTAAGAACAAAAAGTGATGAAATGATGTCAGTCTGTTATGAAAGCCCATAAGGTGGATTGGTAAAATCGTCAACAACATAGATTTTTTTATTATTATTATTTTATCTTCATAAAAAGAAAATGTGATTAATCAATAAATGATTAATTGCGCGGTCGTACCTGTAATGTTGCTCCATCTAGTTTAATTAATGAAAATTGCTTTTCAGTCCCTGACTGTAAAATCCACTGCAGGTTTGGTTCTGGCTGTTCTACAACAAACCTTGAAGCTGTGTTTAGGTCATGACAGGAGTTCAGCCCATGCTTGCCCTTTTGGCTCTACATTCAGCCGGATAACAGCAAAGAGCTTGACTTTGGAGGGGGTTGGTCAGTTTGATCTATTGTCGTTTCTTATTTAAGAACTTCTTTGGGGGGTATAAAACAAACCAGAACTTCATACGAGCCATATTGGCAAAACACAGACTGAGCCAGAACTAACCGTCCTTTGGCAGGTCCTAAAAAAGCTGCACATTACAGCAAAGTTACTCCTTTTAAATAATTCTATTTCGCACCAGGATGAAATTGGAAATGCCGACAGCTACTTGGAAATCCCACAGTAAAGGTTAGGATCTACATTCTCCTGGGAAAACACATGGAGAATGATGCTTATTAGGGCTGGGTATTTTTGACAAAGTCCTGAATCGATTCAGTTTAGATTCATACAGTTCTAAATCGATTAATTTAGATTCGATCTGTTTTTACAATAATGGAAGTGGTTCAACTGTTTCAAAATACTCATTTTATTTTATTTTTTCCTGTCATATATAACACAAAGCGCAAACTTGTAAATCAGATAGTTTAAACTTGAGATGTGAACAAAACTGTCTCATAAGTGCAAACTTGTTTGTGAGAAGTGAAAAAGTGAAGCCTCACTCACTCGGACATGCATGAGCTGCATTATCTTTACTGCACAAACCATATTTGCAGCGTTGTCTTTAACAACTACAGGGTGTTTGCTGGTCAGCCCCCATTTGTTAATGTCTCCAGTCAACCTATTAGCTATATTTGCAGCTGTCTGGCTTGAAGTAATCTTGAGTGTATCTTTCGTGTATCTTTGTACTAATCGATCTCATTCCCTAGACATCGATTTTGCAAAAATGTAAAGGAATCGATTTGAAATCGATTAAACTGATTTTTTTACCCAGCCCTAATGCTTATATCTAAGAAAGCTAATCGTACAAGGAGCTAATTTATTAAAGTCAGCCTAAAATTTTAAAATAATAAGTTTTTTTTGTCTCTCTGGTAAAATACAACATGACCCAGCCCAATGTGAGCCTCTGCTTGTTCACAGCAGGAAGGCTAGAAAGGAACCAACAATGCTGGGAATTCCAGTTCTTATAATTTGGGTAAAATGTCTATAAATGCATCCCAAATCATGTCGTTTTGTAGCCATTGTACAATGAACATGAAATAACAAATGCACTTACCCTGCATTTTGTGGGATGTTAGACAGGTATCTTTGCTCTGTATATTTTTAAAGACCTATTATCTATTTTAAACGTGCTCCAGCATTTATCAAAGCCATAGCTCTTTAAAATAAAAGCAACAAATAACAAAAAAAAAGGCTCTTCAACATTTCTCATAATGCTGTTTCTAAGTAGCACCTTTAACCGGTTTATTGTCAAAATGCCAAAATGTGATGAGTGAAATGTGATTGGTTTTACATTCAGAGATTAAGAACTAGAAGATAATCTCCTAGCCTTGCATCTCGACAAAAAAATCTTAACGAAGACAATGCACTGATATTTAACACCTATAAGAGTTTTTTTTTTTTTTTTTTTTTTTTTTTAAAAAAAAAAAAAAAAAAAAAAAAAAAAAAGGAAAACTTTACCAACATGCTCCACAAAGCCTTTTGAGCAGTTCCTCAGTGGAAAGATTTATTTTGGCATGAAAGTGAGGGAGGAAACCACAAGGCCTGGGAGAACATCCTGAACTTTAAGTGACACTGGACAAAAAAAATATTCCTCGGGAATATTGACTGCTTTCAAAACAAATGGATGTCAATCTCCTATCATACTATCCTATCATATGTGGATTCCATATAGTCAAAAACAACATACATTAATTTAAGATTTAAAACTGGATTGAAACGTATTAGAGTTGTCAGGAAAACATATTTTGCTGTGATGACATCAGTAGGGGTTAACCCCGCTGTCCTTCGTTACTTCCTGTGACCTTCATCATTGGCCACTAAAACCTATTTCCGATTTGGATTTAAAGAAGAGTGAAAAATCACCGAACTGACCAAATGAATTAAGCTTCATTATCAGAAACACAGAACACACTATATAACTTGATCTGATTTGGACCTATTTGTCTTGAGATAACATTTGTTATGAATTTTTGGCCCAAAAGTAAATTAAATTGAACAAAAACTTCTGCATACCTTTCCTCAGCCTGATAACTGTGCAAATACATATTTCCTAAGGAGGGCTAAAACTGCTTTCCTTTTTTAAACAATCCTGTCTGAGCTAAATGGTTCAAAAAAAAAAAAGTTAAAAAAAAGTTGGCGGCTTTCTTACCTTCATCTGTCTGTTTAAAACTTTCAGCTGTCGCTCTGCTTCAGCCTTCTGCTCCTCAAGCTTTTTAACAAGATCTGAAACAGCAAAGTTCAGTTCATTAAACTCCAGCTCATCAAATGTTAAATCGTACCGTAGAGGAAGTCACTGCTTTATGAACAGTTTGATTATGATGGAGAAACAGCAGCCAATTTATACAATTATCAACTCTAAAAGTCATGCTTCCACTAATTATTCTTTAAGTACTACATACTTGTCAGAATAATTTTATCAAACCAATATAATCTACTTCTATTGATAAAAGTAACATTCACTTTCTTACTTAATGTTTATTTGTCCTCCAGAGAGAAGTACAGGGAATAATAACCAGTCCTCTACAAAATCTTATATTTATGTGTAAATCTTCAGTTTTTGTTAAAGCCATTTACTTTCAGACTTTACGACTATTTTGAAAATACCTCTACTCTTTATACTACCAACATTTCAATATACTTTGCATTTTCAAAAGCATTAGTGAAAACCTTTTAGTAAATGGCCGCTAAGTTCAGTTTTCTTTATTTTTTGCATGTTGGGATTCATAGCCTCATGCTACATTGTGCAGATGCTCTGTCTGCACTTTGGAAGATTTACTCACCTTGGCATGATAAATGTTCTAAAGTCACTTCTTTTGGTAAAAATAAGTTCAACTTACTGACTATTTCAACTAGTAATAATCTTAGCATTACCTATGAAGCCCCTTATATACTGTATATACATGTAGGATATTGAATTTCCAGCTGTCTGTCAGGTGGTCATCGAGTATGGAAAACAATCAAAATATGGCAGTGATTAGCAAAAGTGAATCACTGTTAACGTGATGCAGCATCCAACTTTAACTTGGCATTATACACAATATCTTTTAATGCAACTTTTTTCAGATGATTAAAATCTGGAAACAAAAAACACCTTGGGTTCAATACACATTGATTAAATTTGTCGTTTTCACAAGTAATCAAGCCCCTGATTGATTTAAACTTTATAATTTAGGCGCTTATAGCAAAAAGTTTGGACAGCAATAGTCTAGATCAGAGGTCACGGAGGAGCAGACCAGAGTCCGCATCCGGACCCACCTGCTTGGTAATCCGGACCCAACCTAATTAAAGCATTTATAAATTACTGCATGTTGTCTGACGACAGTGTCTAAAGGTCACTTGCGCCGGTTCTCCTGTTTGTATGGTAGAGCTTTTCTTAGCAGCTAGCACCAGGCTGCACATGATGCAAACTAGCCAATGAGCTGCGTCAGTCAGGGCTGCTGCTGCTGCTACTTTTAGACACAGTAGTCAAACATGTGGCAAACAGGGTGACGGGAAAGAAGGAGAAGACGATGAGAAAAAGAGAAGAGAAAGTGTGGACTGCTGGAAGAAGCACGGTGCACTAGTGAAAGTAAAGTGAAATGGCGTGCTCAAAGATGACCCTGCACATTTAGAGTATGTTTGGCTCAACCTGCTGCTGTGAAGCAGGATTCCCACCATAAATTATCAAAAATAAATATCAATCCAGGCTCAAAATGAGCACTTTGATATGTGGTTGAGAATGGCTTTGTCTCCATTCAATCCCAGGTTTAAAGTCCAGCCGGGCAGCCTAAAGCCCACTGCTCTCATTAAACCGTAGTGTTTTATTATAAAAAGTGAGTCAGGAAATTGTCTATATAGCAAACTGAAAGATGGTTGTTCTCTACTTGAAAAACAATTTAGATTTTAAAAAGGAAAAACTTTCTATTTTTTCTATTTGTTATTTAAAAATCAATGTAAAACATCGATGCATAAACACCTGCATTTTATTTCAGTGTTAAATTCTGTTTAAAGTAATGGATTATAATTAAAAATGTCTACGGACCTTCACTAGTTGTTGATTTTCTTTATTCGGACCCCACTGATTTTTAATTGGTTACCCCTGATCTAGACACAACATGAGGTGCGTTTTAAGATATGATGCCATCCCAAAAAGGCAAGAAATAATTCAGAATGTGCTTTACTGTCCCAGCCACAATTACAACTAAAATACTATAAAACATGAAGTGATGCATGGTGCATTACTGTAGGCCTGACGTTACAGCTATTACTGCTTCCAGAAAAGTAAGTTGTTTATATCCCTGCGAGTATTTGCAGTTGAGTATTTTCATTTTATGCAGTTTCTCTTTTTTCTTTTTTTTCTTTTTCCAGTTTGACATCTTCAAGCGCATCTGTGTTACTTTAGCAGCAATATATCTAAATTATCCAATCAGAGACATTAAAGAATTGGATTTTTTTTTAATGCAGGTTAAAACTCCACCCAACAGTGCAGAACCATAAAGCTTGTTATTCGTACATACTTTCCATATCCAGGACAGCCTGGTTGGTGTGACAGTTGACAGCCCTCTGCTGCTCCACCTGGTCCTCCAGCTCAAAGATTGTCTCCTTCATTTCCTTCACTTGGTTTTCCGCTTGAACTCCAGCTTCCTCCAGAGAAGTTACCCGGTGGCTCAGCTCCTGCTCTCTCTTCTCAGCCTTCTCCTGAACCTGCTGGCAGGCAGCCTCCACCTGTGTATGGACAAAGTGTTCACAGAGGCCGCCTCAGTCACTAAAAACCTAAATACAAAGTTAACGCCAATGTGAGCTGGTCCCAATGTATGTAGTACGTATGTATATTTTGTTGCCTTTTCTAAACACATTTAAAAGTCCAATCAAGTTGTTTCAGTCTTTCCTACTTACACGTTAAAGTATCAAATAAAATTAGCTACACAGAAAGAAAAGGCCCATTTATTGTAGTTATTGAAGATGAGGTCAGAGGGTAGATCTCTGTGAGGATAATTTACTTAAACAAGTGAATAACAGGAACTTGTGGTGCTTAAAAACTGACGCCATGTGGGATGTGACGGGTTAAGATGTCTGTCAGGGAAGTAATGGAGTCACCTCATTTTCACACCCTGTTGGCAGAGGACAGCTGTATGACTCAAGAGGTCATACAGCTATGCTGCTGGCACCTCTGTCACCTCCCAAAATAATGACATTCTTCTTCTAAAGGAGACACACCTAACACTGTAGAACCAACCCTGACGCACTGCTCTGCTTGTAGTTCTTTAGACAAAACCAAACCAAAGAGACTAGAAACAAAGGATTATAATTTGAAAGAGGATAAATACAGAGTGATGTGCTGGTGTGTCTCCCTATCCATATTTACATGACTCAGCAGAGAGACGTTAGGACAACAAAGGACAAAAATACACATATCATGAGCAGTAAGGTCATAAAACAATAGGTATTTATAAATAAACCTGAACCACTTCTTTTCTAGAGTAAAAATAAGAAACAAAAATAACTCATAAATGATAAAAAAAAAAAAATAGTTAAGTGAAATGAAAGTAGGTCTATTAGCAGCAGCTTACAAAAGGGCTGTTTTTTAAATGATATTTGGGATTTTTAAGGGATCACTAAAAAATGAAGATGCGTCCATATTTACACCATCTGACGAAAAATGTAAACCAAAAATCTGTGAGAATTAGAGATACATAATATAAAGAAAGGAAAGGATGTGTGATCTTTTTAGGAAACGTAATCATGACTTGTGATAAATATGTAAAAATAATTATTTTCTAGCGCGAAACATTTGGTGAAATGTCATTTTTCTTGACTAAATAAAGTTTTATGAACTATTCTGTCAGCATTTGTTTCAAAAGGAGGGCTGTTTTGGTGTGGTTTTAGGCTCAGCTTTAAACCTGCTTCATAGGCACCGTTTCTGCCGCCACATAATCATTTTGGGGGAAAAAATCCCCTTACATAACAAGGAGGGCCGCAATACGAACTGAAAGCTCATTTTGATAAACATAATCAACTTAAAACACTTGAGATGTTAAACCAATAGTTAGTATTGTATTAGGACTACACTTCCTCTATTCGTCTTCCTCTGCTACCTGTTAATCTCGGTCTTCTCTAGAGACATAGTGAATGGATAGCTGAGGAAGCCAGGAGCTTGACGAGCTGCTGCTGCTATACGTCCAAAGGAGTCAGGTCAGAGGGTTTTGGGTTGAGGGCGTCTTTAGAGGACTTGTTTTGGGAGGTTTTCTGGGCACATTCCCGCTGGAAAAGACTCCTTGATAAACCAAGGTTTAAGTGAAAGTACTGCATATTATTTCTGTCCTGGAAGAAATCTGGGATTCCTCTGAATGAGAGAGAGTGGCAGTTTGAGTCTGGGTTTCCTTCTGGGGCCTGATTTAGGAGAAATCACCTGATGCTGATGGTAACTATTTGTTACTATTCAATGTTCTTTTTGGAAAATAAGCAGCTTGTTAACGGCTGCAAAAGTCTGATGTTAAGAAGGAATGTGGACTCCTGTAAAAGTGTATCTAAGTTAAAATAGTTACTTTAGTGGCATTTTGACTCAACTAAGCCCCTCTGGTCTTGTACAATAATCATAAATACGCCCACAGACATGGCCCTGTGACGAACATGGTGGAATACTTAATAACCAAGTTAGCTATAGCCGCACTAATTCCTGTAACACTCAGGATAATACGCCTGTAAAAATAATTTTAATTTTTTTCACTAAGGATAAACAGATAATTAACCAAGATACATCAAATCAGTAACAACAACATTAACTGAACTTTACTGATCTCTTAATTGAGATATTTACCTCTGCACTTAACCCATCCACTTGGGGAGCAGTGGGCTGCCATTGTTTGGTGCCCAGGGAGCAGTGTGGGGTTAAGGGTCTTGCTCAGGGACCCAGAGTGCAGGCTGTGGGGTTCGAACAGGGTACATTCAACCTTCTCAGAGCACTATCGCACTGCTCTAACAGCTAGACCAACACTCCCCTATATACTAATAACCACAGTCAGTAGCATATGCTGGAGAAGATTCTTAGTCATCCAGGTCATAGCCATTACAAAAAAGTTTTTTTTTAAAACAGTCCACTGGACTTTGTTTCCAAGTAAACAAAGAAAAAACAACCTTAAACAGAGGGACTGGACTCAGATTTCAGCTTTCAAAAACCTACACTGCAGCAATTACGTTGATTCCTCACCGCTATTATCTCAACCCTAACCCATTGCATTGCAGGCTAACAAAAGAAGCCAAACGACCCCCATTCCAAATGGGTGGACCCATTCGTCTGTTTCAGTTTGCAGTTTGCTTTGATGGAGTACTGTATAAAACCTCGAACTCAACGCTATTCCTTACATTTTGAATTGAAAAAGTTTCCTGGATGGGAAGAAAAACGTCTTCAAACTTAGAAACAAAGTCCAGTGGCCTGTTTTTATTAACTTTTTTAGAACACAGTCAGTAACCGCCTAGTAACTAAAATTCAAAGGGTGAGGTATTGAGATGCGTGTGGAGAACATAATCCTGGAGCAGCTGGTGGTGTCTTAGCTGGATTCTCCTACCTTTGACATGGTGGCTCTCACATGCTCGGCCTCAGCCTGGGCCTTGAGCAGTTCCTCTCTCAGCTCTGTCAGCTCCACCTCCAGCCTGTCTCTCTCGGAGTGGGCAGTCTCCAGCAGGTTCTGGAGGTCGGTGCTGTCACTGGCACTCTGCATGGCCTTCAGCTCACCGATCTTCTGCCTCTCAATGTCCACCTGTGCTTTGAGTCGACTGTTTTCCAGTCTGAGACCCTCAGCTGTTGCTTTGTGTTCCTCGGCAGCTTGTGATGCTTGACCACTGCATTTTGCCTCCTTGTCCAGCTGAACCTGTAAACTGTCCAGCTCCTCCTTGAGGTGGCGGACTTGACCCTGAGCCTCCTGGTGTTCCTCTTCTAAAGCCCTCAAGCTGCCCGTTAGTTGCTGCTGGATGTCCACCAGTTTTTCACGTTCGAATCGAGAGCTCTCAACCAGCTCAGCATACCTCTGCTCCAGCTCTGCCAGCCGAGGCCCTTGGCTTCCCATCTCCTGATCCCTTTGGGCCTGAGCCTGCGCTTGTTCCTGAAGTCTGAGAGCAAGCGTTTCATTCTTCTGGGCCAGCACCTCCAGACGTTCTCTCTGCTGCTGAAGCGATGTCTGCAGAAGACGTTTTTCCTCAGCTAGACGCTCATTCTCAGCAGTAAGCTCCTGAACCACTTGTTGCTGGTCGGCGAGCTCCTGCAGTGTTGCCTGCAGCTCTTCTGCGGTGCTGTGTTGGTTCTCCTCCATCTTGTGAATCTGTTCTGTTAGTTTTTGCACCGACACATCTTGGCCTCCAGAACTGTTTACTGTGACTGCGTCGCCACTGATGCTACTGCTCCCTGATTCTGAACGGGATGGGATCTTCTCAAACTCGGAGGAGTCTGGTGAAGGTGACTCCTTGGTAACATCCGAGCCGGACGAGACAGAGGTTTTGAGTGGGCTGGCAATAGAGACGCGTTTGTCCTTTGGAGATGCTGGATGGTTTGAAGGAACCCCATTCACCAAGGAAGCAGATGAGGAGCTTGTGTTTTTATTAGAAAGAGGCAATGCTTCTAAGCAAAACAGCCTTTCCTTCAGTGTCTGATTCTCTTCCCTTAGTGCTGCTAACTCTCTCTGAAACCTTCCGTTCTTCTCCCTGAGCTCGCCAACCTGGACAAGGGCTTCAGCCATCTGTCCCTGCTCATGATCAGCAGCATGCTCTTGGTGGGAAAGAGAGCTGGGAGAGGGTAAAGATGAAGGAGAAGAGGTTTTACTCTTGCAGCGCTGCAACTCTGTTCTCAGATTGCTGATCTCCAAATCCTTTGCCTTTGCTTCAGCAAGGAGCTCTTTCACCTGGTTCTCCAGGAGGCCTCTTTCTTGACTTTCTGCATCTGCACGGGACTTTGTGGAGCTACGGGTCTGCTTTGCCAGAGTGGAGAGGCTGGAGGTGCTGGAACTGGTAACAATTCTTTTAGTCGAGGAACTCCTTAGTTGATCTCTAAGAGAAACCCGATCTTTGGAGGGAATTTCTCTTGGAGCAGGGATTCCAGACTTCTTGTTTGTCTGTACACCTGCAACACAAAACAACAAAAGCAGTGAGCCTTTAATAAGGCCCATGTTAGGAAAAAACAGTATTTCTTATTTAAATTAATAACAAATTTCTGCCTTTTCCAGGTCTTCACATTTTCTCATAGATCTGAGGAGCAAACAAAAGCTACAAGCTGTGTTTATCTGTTATCCATTTTAATCTTTTTATGATTGAGGGTTGCATAATATGCATCATTACAACAATATCGATGCGTGCAATATTCATATCACTAAGGACCGTTTGCAGTAATTCAGTTGTGAATAATATATTCTGGGTGTTATAAACATGCATTTCTCATGTTTAACGTGATACTTAATCAGGAGACAGTGTGTCACGGCAGCAGATACTCATCAGGACATTGCTTCAAATTTTAAAGGTGCAGGAAGCACAAATAACAACGAGGAGGAAAAAGGAAAATATTAGCTTATATTGACTCATGCCTTTGCAATATTAATAATATATTGTAGACCCTGGTTTATTTTTGTCTTATTCATGTCTGAGGAAAAAATCATACAGCATTAAATCTCTTCTGTTATAATCCTTACAATGAGATGCAGAAAATGGCCACATGTAGGTCTCTGTCTATAATTACTCCTCGGTTTCTGGGGTTCTCTGTAATTTTAACATTTTGAATATTTTCGTCAGCTGATTAGCAAAATACTAATCTGTAACATGTATTTTTTTCTGCATTAAGAGAAGAATAACTAACCCATCCACTAAGTGGTAGCTTTGGAAGCAATCATTTTCTGACTAAATTAGACTGTTGTCATGAGCACAAAGAAAAAACATATAGCTGGCTGTCATCATCATAGGTTTGGTAAGCCATATTTTGTAATACACATAAAAGAGTCAGAAAAATCTACTCTAAAAGGATAACAGTTTACAAAGAATAGCTCACTGCATCTAAAGAAGTAACCCTGCCCCTAGATAAAATTGAGAAATGCCACCAAGGTGGTTGGGGCCAACAAACCCTAAGGAGCAGGGTGGTGGGGGATGTGCTCAGAACAAGAACAAGTGGCCGCTAGCTTAGCTTAGTTTAGCCATATTGTAGTATGGAGAGTGAACCAAGAGACCCTGGAAGTCACACTAACAACACATTTTTGAGGTGGATTCCAGCAGCCAGCCCCTAGAGCCAAAAGGGGCATATTGCATATATGCCAGTTGAAAACCGGCCTATGCCAGTTGGGAAGCGGCCTANGTGCGTTTTAAGATATGATGCCATCCTGAAAAGGCAAGAAACAATTCAGAATGTGCTTTACTGTCCCAGCCACAATTACAACTAAAATACTATAAAACATGAAGTGATGCATGGTGCATTACTGTAGGCCTGACGTTACAGCTATTACTGCTTCCAGAAAAGTAAGTTGTTTATATCCCTGCGAGTATTTGCAGTTGAGTATTTTCATTTTATGCAGTTTCTCTTTTTTCTTTTTTTTCTTTTTCCAGTTTGACATCTTCAAGCGCATCTGTGTTACTTTAGCAGCAATATATCTAAATTATCCAATCAGAGACATTAAAGAATTGGATTTTTTTTTAATGCAGGTTAAAACTCCACCCAACAGTGCAGAACCATAAAGCTTGTTATTCGTACATACTTTCCATATCCAGGACAGCCTGGTTGGTGTGACAGTTGACAGCCCTCTGCTGCTCCACCTGGTCCTCCAGCTCAAAGATTGTCTCCTTCATTTCCTTCACTTGGTTTTCCGCTTGAACTCCAGCTTCCTCCAGAGAAGTTACCCGGTGGCTCAGCTCCTGCTCTCTCTTCTCAGCCTTCTCCTGAACCTGCTGGCAGGCAGCCTCCACCTGTGTATGGACAAAGTGTTCACAGAGGCCGCCTCAGTCACTAAAAACCTAAATACAATGTTAACAATGTGAGCTGGTCCCAATGTATGTAGTACGTATGTATATTTTGTTGCCTTTTCTAAACACATTTAAAAGTCCAATCAAGTTGTTTCAGTCTTTCCTACTTACACGTTAAAGTATCAAATAAAATTAGCTACACAGAAAGAAAAGGCCCATTTATTGTAGTTATTGAAGATGAGGTCAGAGGGTAGATCTCTGTGAGGATAATTTACTTAAACAAGTGAATAACAGGAACTTGTGGTGCTTAAAAACTGACGCCATGTGGGATGTGACGGGTTAAGATGTCTGTCAGGGAAGTAATGGAGTCACCTCATTTTCACACCCTGTTGGCAGAGGAAAGCTGTATGACTCAAGAGGTCATACAGCTATGCTGCTGGCACCTCTGTCACCTCCCAAAATAATGACATTCTTCTTCTAAAGGAGACACACCTAACACTGTAGAACCAACCCTGACGCACTGCTCTGCTTGTAGTTCTTTAGACAAAACCAAACCAAAGAGACTAGAAACAAAGGATTATAATTTGAAAGAGGATAAATACAGAGTGATGTGCTGGTGTGTCTCCCTATCCATATTTACATGACTCAGCAGAGAGACGTTAGGACAACAAAGGACAAAAATACACATATCATGAGCAGTAAGGTCATAAAACAATAGGTATTTATAAATAAACCTGAACCACTTCTTTTCTAGAGTAAAAATAAGAAACAAAAATAACTCATAAATGATAAAAAAAAAAAAATAGTTAAGTGAAATGAAAGTAGGTCTATTAGCAGCAGCTTACAAAAGGGCTGTTTTTTAAATGATATTTGGGATTTTTAAGGGATCACTAAAAAATGAAGATGCGTCCATATTTACACCATCTGACGAAAAATGTAAACCAAAAATCTGTGAGAATTAGAGATACATAATATAAAGAAAGGAAAGGATGTGTGATCTTTTTAGGAAACGTAATCATGACTTGTGATAAATATGTAAAAATAATTATTTTCTAGCGCGAAACATTTGGTGAAATGTCATTTTTCTTGACTAAATAAAGTTTTATGAACTATTCTGTCAGCATTTGTTTCAAAAGGAGGGCTGTTTTGGTGTGGTTTTAGGCTCAGCTTTAAACCTGCTTCATAGGCACCGTTTCTGCCGCCACATAATCATTTTGGGGGAAAAAATCCCCTTACATAACAAGGAGGGCCGCAATACGAACTGAAAGCTCATTTTGATAAACATAATCAACTTAAAACACTTGAGATGTTAAACCAATAGTTAGTATTGTATTAGGACTACACTTCCTCTATTCGTCTTCCTCTGCTACCTGTTAATCTCGGTCTTCTCTAGAGACATAGTGAATGGATAGCTGAGGAAGCCAGGAGCTTGACGAGCTGCTGCTGCTATACGTCCAAAGGAGTCAGGTCAGAGGGTTTTGGGTTGAGGGCGTCTTTAGAGGACTTGTTTTGGGAGGTTTTCTGGGCACATTCCCGCTGGAAAAGACTCCTTGATAAACCAAGGTTTAAGTGAAAGTACTGCATATTATTTCTGTCCTGGAAGAAATCTGGGATTCCTCTGAATGAGAGAGAGTGGCAGTTTGAGTCTGGGTTTCCTTCTGGGGCCTGATTTAGGAGAAATCACCTGATGCTGATGGTAACTATTTGTTACTATTCAATGTTCTTTTTGGAAAATAAGCAGCTTGTTAACGGCTGCAAAAGTCTGATGTTAAGAAGGAATGTGGACTCCTGTAAAAGTGTATCTAAGTTAAAATAGTTACTTTAGTGGCATTTTGACTCAACTAAGCCCCTCTGGTCTTGTACAATAATCATAAATACGCCCACAGACATGGCCCGTGACAAATATGGTGGAATACTTAATAACCAAGTTAGCTATAGCCGCACTGATTCCTGGTTAAAAAACTGTAACATTCAGGAAATACGCCCGTAAAATGATTAAATTTTTAAATTTAAATTTTTTCACTAAGGATCAACAGATAATTAACCTAGATACATCAAATGAGTAACAACATTAACTGAACTTTACTGATCTCTTAATTGAGATATTTACCTCTGCACTTAACCCATCCACTTGGGGAGCAGTGGGCTGCCATTGTTTGGTGCCCAGGGAGCAGTGTGGGGTTAAGGGTCTTGCTCAGGGACCCAGAGTGCAGGCTGTGGGGTTCGAACAGGGTACATTCAACCTTCTCAGAGCACTATCGCACTGCTCTAACAGCTAGACCAACACTCCCCTATATACTAATAACCACAGTCAGTAGCATATGCTGGAGAAGATTCTTAGTCATCCAGGTCATAGCCATTACAAAAAAGTTTTTTTTTAAAACAGTCCACTGGACTTTGTTTCCAAGTAAACAAAGAAAAAACAACCTTAAACAGAGGGACTGGACTCAGATTTCAGCTTTCAAAAACCTACACTGCAGCAATTACGTTGATTCCTCACCGCTATTATCTCAACCCTAACCCATTGCATTGCAGGCTAACAAAAGAAGCCAAACGACCTCCATTCCAAAGGGGTGGACCCATTCGTCTGTTTCAGTTTGCAGTTTGCTTTGATGGAGTACTGTATAAAACCTCGAACTCAACGCTATTCCTTACATTTTGAATTGAAAAAGTTTCCTGGATGGGAAGAAAAACGTCTTCAAACTTAGAAACAAAGTCCAGTGGCCTGTTTTTATTAACTTTTTTAGAACACAGTCAGTAACCGCCTAGTAACTAAAATTCAAAGGGTGAGGTATTGAGATGCGTGTGGAGAACATAATCCTGGAGCAGCTGGTGGTGTCTTAGCTGGATTCTCCTACCTTTGACATGGTGGCTCTCACATGCTCGGCCTCAGCCTGGGCCTTGAGCAGTTCCTCTCTCAGCTCTGTCAGCTCCACCTCCAGCCTGTCTCTCTCGGAGTGGGCAGTCTCCAGCAGGTTCTGGAGGTCGGTGCTGTCACTGGCACTCTGCATGGCCTTCAGCTCCCCGATCTTCTGCCTCTCAATGTCCACCTGTGCTTTGAGTCGACTGTTTTCCAGTCTGAGACCCTCAGCTGTTGCTTTGTGTTCCTCGGCAGCTTGTGATGCTTTACCACTGCATTTTGCCTCCTTGTCCAGCTGAACCTGTAAACTGTCCAGCTCCTCCTTGAGGTGGCGGACTTGACCCTGAGCCTCCTGGTGTTCCTCTTCTAAAGCCCTCAAGCTGCCCGTTAGTTGCTGCTGGATGTCCACCAGTTTTTCACGTTCGAATCGAGAGCTCTCAACCAGCTCAGCATACCTCTGCTCCAGCTCTGCCAGCCGAGGCCCTTGGCTTCCCATCTCCTGATCCCTTTGGGCCTGAGCCTGCGCTTGTTCCTGAAGTCTGAGAGCAAGCGTTTCATTCTTCTGGGCCAGCACCTCCAGACGTTCTCTCTGCTGCTGAAGCGATGTCTGCAGAAGACGTTTTTCCTCAGCTAGACGCTCATTCTCAGCAGTAAGCTCCTGAACCACTTGTTGCTGGTCGGCGAGCTCCTGCAGTGTTGCCTGCAGCTCTTCTGCGGTGCTGTGTTGGTTCTCCTCCATCTTGTGAATCTGTTCTGTTAGTTTTTGCACCGACACATCTTGGCCTCCAGAACTGTTTACTGTGACTGCGTCGCCACTGATGCTACTGCTCCCTGATTCTGAACGGGATGGGATCTTCTCAAACTCTGAGGAGTCTGGTGAAGGTGACTCCTTGGTAACATCCGAGCCGGACGAGACAGAGGTTTTGAGTGGGCTGGCAATAGAGACGCGTTTGTCCTTTGGAGATGCTGGATGGTTTGAAGGAACCCCATTCACCAAGGAAGCAGATGAGGAGCTTGTGTTTTTATTAGAAAGAGGCAATGCTTCTAAGCAAAACAGCCTTTCCTTCAGTGTCTGATTCTCTTCCCTTAGTGCTGCTAACTCTCTCTGAAACCTTCCGTTCTTCTCCCTGAGCTCGCCAACCTGGACAAGGGCTTCAGCCATCTGTCCCTGCTCATGATCAGCAGCATGCTCTTGGTGGGAAAGAGAGCTGGGAGAGGGTAAAGATGAAGGAGAAGAGGTTTTACTCTTGCAGCGCTGCAACTCTGTTCTCAGATTGCTGATCTCCAAATCCTTTGCCTTTGCTTCAGCAAGGAGCTCTTTCACCTGGTTCTCCAGGAGGCCTCTTTCTTGACTTTCTGCATCTGCACGGGACTTTGTGGAGCTACGGGTCTGCTTTGCCAGAGTGGAGAGGCTGGAGGTGCTGGAACTGGTAACAATTCTTTTAGTCGAGGAACTCCTTAGTTGATCTCTAAGAGAAACCCGATCTTTGGAGGGAATTTCTCTTGGAGCAGGGATTCCAGACTTCTTGTTTGTCTGTACACCTGCAACACAAAACAACAAAAGCAGTGAGCCTTTAATAAGGCCCATGTTAGGAAAAAACAGTATTTCTTATTTAAATTAATAACAAATTTCTGCCTATTCGAGGTCTTCACATTTTCTCATAGATCTGAGGAGCAAACAAAAGCTACAAGCTGTGTTTATCTGTTATCCATTTTAATCTTTTTATGATTGAGGGTTGCATAATATGCATCATTACAACAATATCGATGCGTGCAATATTCATATCACTAAGGACCGTTTGCAGTAATTCAGTTGTGAATAATATATTCTGGGTGTTATAAACATGCATTTCTCATGTTTAACGTGATACTTAATCAGGAGACAGTGTGTCACGGCAGCAGATACTCATCAGGACATTGCTTCAAATTTTAAAGGTGCAGGAAGCACAAATAACAACGAGGAGGAAAAAGGAAAATATTAGCTTATATTGACTCATGCCTTTGCAATATTAATAATATATTGTAGACCCTGGTTTATTTTTGTCTTATTCATGTCTGAGGAAAAAATCATACAGCATTAAATCTCTTCTGTTATAATCCTTACAATGAGATGCAGAAAATGGCCACATGTAGGTCTCTGTCTATAATTACTCCTCGGTTTCTGGGGTTCTCTGTAATTTTAACATTTTGAATATTTTCGTCAGCTGATTAGCAAAATACTAATCTGTAACATGTATTTTTTTCTGCATTAAGAGAAGAATAACTAACCCATCCACTAAGTGGTAGCTTTGGAAGCAATCATTTTCTGACTAAATTAGACTGTTGTCATGAGCACAAAGAAAAAACATATAGCTGGCTGTCATCATCATAGGTTTGGTAAGCCATATTTTGTAATACACATAAAAGAGTCAGAAAAATCTACTCTAAAAGGATAACAGTTTACAAAGAATAGCTCACTGCATCTAAAGAAGTAACCCTGCCCCTAGATAAAATTGAGAAATGCCACCAAGGTGGTTGGGGCCAACAAACCCTAAGGAGCAGGGTGGTGGGGGATGTGCTCAGAACAAGAACAAGTGGCCGCTAGCTTAGCTTAGTTTAGCCATATTGTAGTATGGAGAGTGAACCAAGAGACCCTGGAAGTCACACTAACAACACATTTTTGAGGTGGATTCCAGCAGCCAGCCCCTAGAGCCAAAAGGGGCATATTGCATATATGCCAGTTGAAAACCGGCCTATGCCAGTTGGGAAGCGGCCTATGCCAGTTGGGAAGCGGCCTAAGCCAGTTGGAGACCGGCCTATGCCAGTTGGTGACCGGCCTATGCCAGTTGGGGACCGGCCTATGCCAGTTGGGAAGCGGCCTAAGCCAGTTGGAGACCGGCCTATGCCAGTTGGTGACCGGCCTATGCCAGTTGGTGACCGGCCTAAGTCAGTTGGTGACCGGCCTATGCCAGTTGGTGACCGGCCTATGCCAGTTGGTGACCGGCCTATGCCAGTTGGTGACCGGCCTATGCCAGTTGGTGACCGGCCTAAGCCAGTTGGGGACCGGTCTATGCCAGTTGGGGACCGGCCTATGCCAGTTGGGGCCTGCCTAAGCCAGTTGGGGACCAGGCTAAGCCAGTTGGGGACCGATTTATGCAACGGTGTAACGACACAACAACAGGCCCGTAAGCAACATTATCTGAGTGGGCCCCATATGAAGTAAAACACCACCAACCCCTGCATTCTTTAAGCAGCTCTTTTTTGCTTTTTCTTTTCCGCATACTGTAAGTACCTCTTTTTGGTATCCATCGTCGCTAACACATTGTACGTAACGGTTATGGTTTTAATCTCTGAATTACCCATAATTCCAACTCATATTGTAAAAATTAAAATACTGAAATACATTGTTCTTTTAGGATCTTTTTTGCGGTTTGAAACATATTATATGAGTGTACCTACCCTCTAATGAACTATGCACAGCTATTAACATAGTAATTAAAAGAACCACTGTCTTGCTGTGTCTTGCTATTGGTGTCATGTTTAAATCTCCCATGTGTTGGGGTATAAATATGGTCCAGTCAGACAATGTAGTATCAGGCAGGTTTAAGAGGAATTTTGAGCAGCATTACATCTGCAAGGGACGTCCTAGTCAACAATTGTGTCGGGGGCCTACCAGAGTTCAGGGCCTCTAAAGAACTGCATACTCTGCTTACCGATAGTTACGCCATTGGACTTATGCCAGTCCCCAACCGGCATATACCATTTTCCAAAACTGGCATGCCAGATACCACTTTTGGGTCTCACTGTCACTCAAGGATTTTTCCCTCTCATCACTAAATGTTGAGGGAAACTTTGTGTAGCTTAGTGGGCCACAGCATAATCAGTTTGAGTTGCCTGCTTACTCAGCAACGCCTAAAGCCGAAGGTGACTCACTATGAAGGTGCAGATCTGAATTACTTACTTTTACATCCAACGTGGGGCTATGATGACCAAAGTCTTTATGCATAACAAACGCTTGTACTTAAAATCAACTATGGCAACTATGGCAACTATGTCTGACTGCATGCCACAGCAATCACAGCTCCACAATCACAAATAACACTCATGAAGTATATAACCATTTAAAATACAAAATTAGGACACCAGTTGCATTAAAACGTTGATTTCTTTAATCAATAAATTGCAGTAACAACATTCTGACGTAAAAGGGCAAGTTGAAAATTCAACTCTTCAGGATTATTGGTACAATTTAAACATCTTTGATCCCACTTATGGCAGCAGTAAGTGGGTTTCAACACAAATATAGCAGATCGAAACAGGATCATACAAAAATGAAAAATAAATTAAATGTACAGCTAAATTAAAAGAGCACCCCAAAAGGCCCAGTTTATCTGCAAAAAATTAATGAACTTAAGTTTAACTTTCAAACAAAAAATGAAGAAACTTGTTCAATTTTATCATATTTGCTATTATTTAAGACTTTATCTCACAAGGTATTTGTATTTCTACATGTAGCAGAATTAAAAAGTTCATGATAAAGACTTTTCTTTGTAAGTCACCGGTTAAAACTGTAGTAAAATATACAAAATTCAGCTATGCTGTTTTTGAACCATTAGATAAATTAGATTTTAGATTGATTATTAGCAAATTGCACAACAAAAATCTGATCACTGAAAACAGAGGGTTGCTGGTATGAGCATTCAGTTATTTTGCATTCATGAAAAGAGAGTATGTTACATTCATACTTGCATTAATCAGCACTACAGTCAGTGTAGCCTATTCTCATATTGTTCTCTGTTTGGACAACATCACATCTGCCCCACGCCGTCAGTGTTGCTGTCTGAAGCCATTCAAGGCTATAGCAGAGCTTAGCTTTGGCATTTCATAAAATGCATCAATGCGGGTCATGGGGAGGAACCTTTTCTAGACCCCTTTTGAATATGAAGAGTATCTACTGACGCCTGGCATGAGCTGGTTTCTGCCTAAAAATGGTGTATTGTTTTGTTTTTTTGGACCATCAGCAAACAGCAGTGCAGACACAAGAGAATTGCTTGTTTCAAACGACAACACAACGGTCCCTGTGCACGTGGAGCATTTAGGCACAAAGCAGCTAAAGCAGTGCGTGGACAAAGACAGCAGTGTGTGCATCACATTCCCACATCATCATCAAACCCACAAAGCAAGAGGCAGACAGACAGCCTGTGTCAGGAGATAGGCAGCACATCTTCCTGATCAACACTCTCACACACATTCAGTAAACATGCACACAGAATCCTCGAACAAATGGCCCAGTTTGGAATGGAAATCCTATCCCTCTGCGGAGCAGTCTGCCACTGATAGACACTCTGCACAGAGTATCCCCTTATTGAGCAAGCAGGAGCTGCCAGCCTTTGCACGTTTGAGCTGTTTAACATTCCTGCTGTGAGAGGCTGGGGCTGAAGGTTGAGGGCCTTCATACTGACAGATTTTTGGGTGTTAAAAAATATGTACGGTTTTATCAGTTTTTGTAAACAATCAACACAAAGATTTTAGATTTGCTATCCTGTGCTAGTTCTGAACAGCAGGGCAACCAAATAAATCAGAGGCATCACAGGAGGCAATTTAAAGATCCAATGGGTACCATTAAACATCCACAGTCACTTAAGTCTGAAACTCACTTGAGAAAATTTCATGAGTGGCAGAATGAGGCCAATGTGTGCTCCTAAATTATGTACTCTTTGGAGGATGTAAAGGCAAAGTCAGCAAGGTGCTATAAATGATTCCTGAGCGTTAAAGGGAGCCAAAGAAAATCCAATACCAAACAGCTCATGCCAGTCTTACAGGCAGTCTTTATGGAGGGCTGCAGGAGGAGGGTCAATAGATTAGAGTTAAATACACTGATGAAGACCCAGCCATTCAACTAAATACGAGCGATGTTGAATTAGAAATTAATGTATTTTTACAGCCAAACAGTTTAATAGTGGCACAGAAAAAGTGGATGTTGACCAGAATGAGAGCTTTTTTCAGATTAACCAATACCCAAGGTGTTTTTTTTTCTTCTTTTTAATTATTTATTACAAAAACTTTCATTTGAAATTGATAAACCTCAAATAATTGCAGTATTACAATGTTAGTTTGACTCAACATGTAAAACAGTCAACACAGAATCGAGGATATATTTTGGACCTGGTCATCAGCAAAGGTCAAAAAATTTGTAATGTTTCTATAACTGACCTATCAGACCATGTTTCTGTTTACTTTGAAAACATTTCCCCCACTGAACTTATGACCTAAAGAGATGTTATACAGTAACAAAAGGTGTTAGAATGGAGAGTACAATTAATAACTTAACCAGGGGTTATTATGCGTCAACTTAACTCAATAGATGAGCTGGTTGATCATTTCATTTCTAAAGTTCCTGACATCCTTGATTCAATTGCTCCAGTTAAAGTGAAAGTGTTCTCTGTGAACATGAACTCTTCATGGAGAAATGCTCCAGCAGTGAGAAAAGAAAAGAGGCCAAAAGGCTGAACAAAGGTGGCAAAAGAATGGACTCCAGGTTCATTAAGAAATCTATAAAGAGA